GGCTAAGCGCCATAACAATAAAATTCATTCATTCACTTCCTGTGGCAGTGAATTCCATGTGTTAATCACTCTTTGGGTGAAGAAGTACTTCCTTTTATCCATTCTAACATGACCTCGCAGCAATTTCATTGAGTGCCCACGAGTTCTTGTATTGTGAGAAAGGGAGAAAAGTACCTCTTTCTCTACCTGCTCTATCCCATGCATAATCTTATAAACCTCAATCATGTCACCCCTCAGCCGTCATTTCTCCAACCTAAGAGCCCTAAGCGCTTTAACCTTTCCTCATAGGGAAAGTGTTCCAACACTTTTATCATTCGAGTTGCCCTTTTTTGCACTTTTTCCAATGCTATAATATCCTTTTTGAGGTGTGGTGACCAGAACTGTACACAGTACTCCAAATGAGCTCGCACCATCGATTTATACAGGGGCATTATGACCAGCATGGCATGGTGGCCCCAACAAGCACGCTGAGAGAGGTCATCTGGACATCTGGATTGAGTTGCCACCAATATATATAGATGACACACTCAGCTCTATCTTGTGCTTCCAGCAGACCCCAGGGAAACTATGGGAACCAAAAACAGGTGCCTGGAGGCAGTTTTGTAAAGAAGAAGCTGAAACAGAGAATCTGCTGGTGGGGGAAAGGTTTGACCCAGGAATTGGGATGCCTCCAGTTCTGGATGGGGTTGCACTCCCTGTAAAGGAGCAGGTGCATAGCTTGGGGGTACTGCTGGGCCTGGGCCACCTGTTGGATGAGCAGGTGGCAGTGGTTGGCCTTGGCTGCTGAGCCAGCTGTGACCATTCCTTAGCAGGAAGCATGCCTGGGTAACATCCAGATTAGATAGCTGCCACGCATTCTCCATGATGCTGCTGGAAAAAACTGCCCAGAAGGTACAGTTGGTACCAAATGCTGCAGCCAAAACACTGACTGGAGTGGATTGTCTGGACCACAGCCCTCCACTCTTGTACTATCCGGTTCCCCGTTTTTCCCCAGGCCTAATTCAAGGTGCTGGTATTGACCTTTAAAGCCCTGTACAGCTTGGGGCCAGTATATCTTAAGGACCACCTACTCTTGTATGAACCTACCTGATCACTCTGGTCATCTTCAGAGACCCTGCTTCAGCTGCCCCCGCCAACTGAGGCTAGATGGCTCATGGCTGGCAACATAAGAAAGGACTTTCTTCCTCATGGTGCCAAAACATTGGAACTCTCTCCCAAGGGAAACTTATCTGTTTCCCTATATCATTCTTTCATCAGCCAATGAAATCTTTTTAGACCACATCTAAGGAAGTGTTTCTTCATCTAAAGAGGCCCAGGTAGCAACCACTGCCAAGTCAGCCTTTTACCATTTTCGGCTTATTAGGCAGTTGGTTCCCTTCCTCGAATGCAGTGACTTGGCAATGGTAATCCGCACAACTGTAACCTCAAGATTAGACTACTGTAATGCTCTCTACAAGGGGCTGCCCTTGTCCCAAATTCAGAAGCTGCAGCTGGTGCAGAATGCAGCAGCCAGGCTGTTGTTGGGTCTCTCTCCATGAGAACACATCCAGCTTGCGCTGAAGGTATTGCACTGGCTGCCTATAGCATACCAAATTCGCTTCAAGATGCTGGTGCTTACCTATAAAACCCTATATGGTCAAGGGCCAGCATTCCTGAGGGACCGCCTTTCCCCACACATTCCCCAGGGAGCACTGCATTCAAGAACACAAAATCTTCTAGTGCTCCCTAGCCCTAAAGAGGCCAGACTGGCCACTACCAGGACTAGAGCGTTTTCTGCGGCAGTGCTGTGCTGGTGGAACGAGCTCCATGAGGACACCAGGACCCTGTGGAGTTTACTTCAGTTCTGCAGGGCCTGCAAGATGGAGTTCTTCCACCAGGCATTTGACCACACGTAACATCTTGATAACTTGGAGCGTCCCTGGGTTTGTTTGTATCATCTAAGTCTGTACTAACTGACTCTTGCTAAGAAAATATGGGATTATTACTGCCGTCACATAGGAAATATATATGTATTGCACTTAAGATTTTATGTGTTTTAAACTGTTTTAACACTTTTATGTAAGCCGCCCTGAGCCTGCTTCAGCAGGGAGGGCAGGGTATAAATCTAATAAATAAATAAATAACACATGGAATTCACTGCCACAGGAAGTGGTGGCAGCTACAAGCACAGAGAGCTTCAAGAGGGGATTGGATAAACATATGGAGCAGAGGTTCGTGAGTGACTATTAGCCAAGAAGGTACAGATGTAACACTCTGTCTGGGGCAGTGATGCTCTGTATTCTTAGTGCTTGGGGTGGGGGGGGCAACAGTGGGACGGCTTCTGGAGTTCTGGCCCTGCTGGTGGACCTCCTGATGGCACCTGCGTTTTGGCCACTGTGTGACACAGAGTGTTAGACTAGATGGGTCATTGGCCTGATCCAATATGGCTTCTCTTCTGTTCATTTGCTTATGGTTTTGTTTGGCATTCACTAACTCTTATTAGGCCTCCTCCCTGTTTGTGTGCCTGTGTTTATATGTTTTCTTTAATTGCTTTAAATATTGTGTGTGTGTGTTTTAAATACTTTTAAATGTTTGAAATGGTTTAATGTGTGAAATGTTTAAGGTTTGCTGCCTTGGGAACCCTGAGTTGGGTGGATAGGCAGCATAGAAATGTTTTTAATTACTTCATCATGTCACAGGGCAGACTGTCTTGACCCGGAACGCGTACCCTCCCCTCCTCAAGCCCTCATCTGGCTTGCATGCAGTGCCCTGGAGCAAAAGAGGGGAAGGGAGAGGGCTTACAGCACCCACCTCCCTCCTCCTTCCCTCACTGCCTGCCCTCTACTGAAGAGAGCTGGCTGGTGAGAGTCCTCATCAGCCCCTCTCCCCTGCTGGTTAAACAGGCCCCTATGCCTGCCTTAGGTTGGCCTCCACGGCCTCTCACGACAGCTCTCCCACTCACGGGAGGCTGGGGGATACTCCCCATGCATTGGTGATGCAGCCCATCCCCTGCCAGCTACCACTGCCCAGCCGAGAGGGTAGAGAAGCCTCAGCAGCACTCTTCCTGCACAGGTGAGAGAGAGGGAAGCTGGTCAGTAAATTCATATGTTTTTGAGTCGCTATTTACTAAGATCATGTTTTAAAGATTTTGTAGCCTGCCTATGTCCAAAAGACTCACGGCAGGTAACACAAGACATCAGATAGTTATCTATCGGAGCAAAACACATTATAATTAAGTGACTTCAAGTCACAACCAATTTGTACCACCACCACTCTGGGTTTTCAAGGTAAGGGATGAGCAGAGGTGGTTACCATTGCGTTTATCCTCTCCATGGCATTTGTGATGTGTTTACCCTCTCCCTGGCTACCCAGCCAAGTACTAACCATAGCTGACTCTATATAACGTCCAAGGTTCTGACAAGATAAGGCTAGTCTGGGATATTCAGGTTCCTATAAACTAAGGTACTCAAATATAAATATAAAACGGGAGTGCTTTGCTTATTATGTTGTAAATAATCCCAATAAAATAGGATTTTGACTAAACAAACTGATCTTCCATTCCTCCACCCCCATGTTCTCAGCTATGCCCATCACAGGTAAGGCCTGTGATGGAACAGAATTTGTTCATGGCTGTGATTTTCTTTTTTTCTCCTATGGTCAAGAAGGTAGAGGTTTGGTGACTCAGGAGACTGGGGAGTTAACTTAAATAAATCAGAGCTTATGATCTGTTATATACCTATGAGAAAAATTCCATAAAATACCAGTAAAAATAATTCAAAAGCTTTTACATTCAAAGATCTTTATGCATATCACTATCAAATAGTATTGGAATTTATATTGAATAATAGGGATGGGTACTTTCCAGATTTTGCCCCGGACCGAACTGAACTGACCCTATTCCTGGACCAGTTCTCGAATTAAACAGCAGCCAGTTTGCGAACTGGTTCGCGGACCGGTCTAGATGCAGAAAAGACCCCCGTAGGATCCAGGGCAGTGTTCCCTCTAAGCTGAGTTAGTGTGAGCTAGCTCACAGTTTTTTATCCTCCAGCTCACACATTTTTGTCTTAGCTCAGGAAGGATGGCTCCAGAGCAAACTGATTTATGCAGTAGCCAAATCACTTGCTCACAACTTTAGTGCCAGTAGCTCACAAAGTAGATTTTTTGCTCACAAGACTCCACAGCTTAGAGGGAGCATTGGTCCTGGGGACCCAAATCCTCAGCATAATTCCAGCTCCCTCTCCTCGATATGCTCACTGAGTCTGGTCCCTCTTGGACTTTGGGGGACTGAGCTACAGGCCCCCAAAGAGACAATGCTTTTCAATGGGACGTCCCTCCCCACCGGTTCAGGAGTGACCAAAACTGACTTGGGTGAGCTAGAGGCCTCCAACTCGCACAGCCTGTCCCTGGGGTGCCCTCCACGTGCCTCACAAGTCACATGCCTGTCGGGTCTGGAGGGTACGAGTAGCAGACCTCCAAGTCCGGTGCCCCCCAGGAAACTGCTTCTGGAGGACTGGGCCAGTGATGGTGTCAGATGGTCCAAAGCAGAACTGGTTCAGCCACAGGCACCCAACTCCCAGAGGACTTCCCCAGGGACCACCTGTACAGTTGTGGGTGCCTCTGTCTTCCTGAGGCCAACCACCCAGCCCTTTGGACATGAGGACTGGTTGGGGCCCAGCCTCCCACCCAGCCTGGGAAGGTGACAGGGACAGTAGGTGCTCTTTCCCCACGCCCATTTACCCTTAAATGGCAATGGGATCACTGACCAGGGCAGAACCAGGCCCAGCGGGGGAGGAGAAATGTAAGGAGACACGGAAAGGTGGGCCCTGCAGGGAGGGACCTGGGAGCATGACGTAACATTAAATTTCCTGTCTAGCAGTCCTGCTTTTGGGGGGGGGGCAATGATGGCCAACCGTGACATGCTTTGAGGTAGTGTTAAGGAGTTCCCTGGGCCGGGGACAGACCTGGTGGGACCTCCCCCAGGGGGAGGAGAAATGTAAGGGGACATGGAAGCATGGCCCCTCTGGGGAGAGACCCGGGACTGTGATGTGACAGTAAGGTTTCCCCTCTAGCAGCCCTGCTTTCGGGGGGGGGGAGGTTGGGTGATGATGACCGATGGTGACATGCTTTGAGGTAGTGTTAAGGAGTGCCCCGGCCAGGGACGGGCCCAGTGGGACCTCCCTCGGGGGAGGAGAGATGTAAGGAGACATGGAAGAGTGGGCCCTGTGAGGAGGGGCCCGGGAGCATGACGTGACAGTAAGTTTTCCCTTCAAGTAGCCCTGCTTTTGGGGGTTGGGTGATGATGACCGATGGTGGCATGCTTTGAGGTAGTGTTAAGGAACACCCCCACAGGCGACGGGCCCGGTGGGACCTTCTCTGGGAGGAGGAGAGACATTAAGAGACATGGAAGCATGGCCCTTCTGGGAAGGGACCTGGAAGCATGGTCTGACTGCCTGGCCATGGCAGGCAGATGGGTGGAGAGTCCCGGCCCCCAGAAGAACCCCTCCCAGCAGGGGCACCCTTCCTCCCACCCAGTTGCTGACAGACGCACCCCGTGGGCTGCATGCTGGGATCATCTGTGGAGGAAGAGGGGGGAAAGGAAGGGGGGACATGAGGAGGGAAGATGAGAGACCGTGGTCTCGATCCACCCCATCCAGAACAGGGTTGCCCAGCATGGTTAGACTGACCTTCAGAAAGGACAGCTCATCCACCCTTGATAGGCCTAGTCGAGATCGATGTGGGCAAAGGATGTCTCCCAGGTGGGAGAACACCTGCTTGCTCTGGACACTAGTGGGTGGGCAGGAGAGCAGACTGGTGGCTATGCTGATGAGATCTGGGCATATGGTGGTCAGGAACTCACGAACCATCACCTCGGCGGAATCCTCCACCATCACATGCCTGGCACCGTCCCTCTGTACCTCCCACCTCATGATGAACATCCAATACTCCTGGTTCTTGCACTGTCTCCACTCAGTTCCATGGGCCCACCCTCTCTCTAAGAGCTTGCCCTCCTCGCTGCCCCCTGCCTCCCAATCTTCTGTCTCTCTCTGCTCCTCCCCCTCATCTTCCTGCCCCCCCCTCGTCATCCTCCTCTATCTCATCATCTCCCATGTCCCTCAGCTGTCTCTGGCCCCAGCCACGGTGACACAGTTCACACTTCCGCTGATGAGGCTGCGCGCTTCAGAGGGCGATGCTTCCCTTGATTTGGGGGTCACACATGCACACCACCCTGAATTCCTGCTCGAGGAGAGGATGAAGGCGCTGCTCGATGCCGTGGTGCAACCTGTCAACCAGGGCCCTGATTCAAGGGAGAACCACGGTTCCCTCGGGGCCTGGCTCCAGCACAGACTCTATCACCCAATCTAGCCCACAAATGAAGGGGATGACTTGCCCCAGGCTGGCCATGTGGGCACAGAGGACATTCGTGGCATCCTGAAATGGTTTCAGGACACGTGCCATCTGGGACAGGGTCAGCCAGTCGTTGGAGCTGATGCTCAGCTCGCCCCCCCCCCTCAGATGGACATGGAGAACAGGGCATCCTGGACCACCGTCTTCTGCTCCACCAAATGGGCAATTGTGGCATAGGTGGAGTTCCACCGAGTGCCAACATCGTGGAGGAGGACATGCTCTGGCTCAGCCGCCTCACCCTGCCTCTCTCTCAGCTGCCATGAAGCCCTGATGCTTCTCAAGAAGTGACCCACCAAGCACCGGCAGTTCTCCAGCAGGGAACCGATCTTGGCAGTGTCCTCCCCAAAGGTCGGCCGTCAGGTGGACGGTTCTCCCTCACACCTTGGCTAGCTCAGCTTTCACCAGATGCACTGCAGACTGATACATGGCGGGCAGCACATGCTGGCTCATGGTCCTCCAGGAGGGAATGGTGTGCCACAGGGCCATGCAACGTAGGAGTTCCCGAAAGCCCACATTCTCCACCAGTGAGAAAGGCTGGCTGTCCAGGGTGATCATTCGTCCAATGTACTGAGTGATCACTTTGTGAGCCCTGGCCCTCATCCTTTTTCCAGGCGCTGGGGAGTACCCAACGAGCATGATCTCTTGAAGGGTGGTTTGCCTGGGGGAATCCATGGGGGAGGCCACAGACCTCACCGTGGCAGCCCGCCCCTCCCGGCCTTCCTCTCCCCATCAACTTGGAGTCTGCGCCCCATGCCCGGTGGCAGGCTCAGGGGGTCCACCCTCCAGCAGAGTCAAATTGGGGTGCAACTGATGCAAGTGCCTCTGTAGAACGCTAGTGGTTAAGTGATGTGGATCTCTCTCCCGACGAACATGTATGCCACACACCTGGCACTCCACCACACAAGGATCACTGGGTGGGATGCGGAAGTACTTCCACGCACCAGACTGCAACCATGCCCCCACACCCATCAGCAGGGCGCTTTTCAGGCATAACTGTTTCCTGGACTCAGACCCTGTACTGATGGGGGGGGGCATACCAACAGTTGAGGGACAGGCGGGAGATCACGACTGGGAATCCCCAGGCACGGAACAGGATGACATGCTTTGGCCATCATCACCACCCTCACCACTAGCGACGGTGGTCTCCTCCCTCTCATGCATACTTTGCCTCCACGGCCCACCTGTAACCAGGGGGGGCTCTCGTCCGGTGATCAAGACCAGCCCCGTGGACACTGCAGGGGAACCTGATGCAGAGGCCGCTGATGAAGTGCCCAAGCAGGAGAGCACCGGTGTGGGAAAATGTGGTCGTATCCCACCACCTGTGGTCAAAGTGCCCTGTCTTCCCATCTGCCCAAAGCTGTGACCATGACCCCTTTGGGCTCCCCTCATGTCCCCACATGTAAGACCTAGGTAGTGGGGGTGAATGAGTGGCTGTTCAAGTTGCAGAGAAATGCTGCGAGGGTCAGTGGGTTGGGAGCCTCATTGGCAGAGGAGGGGGGCCGAAGGCAGAGACTCAACCCACCCAGGGAGAAGGGTTTTCCCCCCTTTCAACAGGGGTAGTCGAGACAAGTCCCCACAGCCAGAAGTCAGAGGAGAGATGGGGACCCAAACGTAGAGCCTCAACCCATCCAGGAAGAAGGGTTTCTTTATTTTGGCAGGGGCACTGAAGGCAAGCCCCACAGTCGGTGTCAAGGACAGTTAGCCCCCCCCTGAAATTGCTTCAAGAGTGGGGTGTCCACTTGCCATGGGAGAGAAGGAACTGCCAAATCCGAGACCGCAGTGACGCAAGCAAAAAGGGGGGGGGTGTTCTTTCAAAGAAGAAGCATGAGCCCCGCAGTCAGTGCCAAGGGCAGTCTGCAAGCCTCCCCCAGAAAACAGTTAGAGAGTGGGGTGTCCACTTTCCAAGCCAGAGAGAGAACTCTGAGGTGAGGGACATCAGCAGCCCTGGGAGATGGGGTGCAGAAAGGGGGGAAGACCCACAGCCTGTTCCCAGGGGACTTTGCCACCTCCCTGTCCCAGAAGGCGGTTTGAGACTTGGTCACTGAGGGATGGGGGGGGGGGAGAGAAGGAACTCTGAGGTGAGAGACTTCACCAACCCAGGGAGGCAGGGTGCAGAAAGAGGGAAAGACCCACAGCCTGTGCTCGGGGGACTTTGCCAGTGCCAGCTCCCTGCAACAGAGGGTGGTTTGAGACTTGGTCGCCAAGGGACGAAGGGGGGGGGGAGAAGGAACTCTGAGGTGAGAGACTTCACCAACCCAGGGAGGCAGGGTGCAGAAGGGGAGAAGACCCACAGCCTGTGCCCAGGGGACTTTGCCAGTGCCAGTTCCCCACCCCAGAAGGTGGTTTGAGACTTGGTCGCTGAGGGGCAAAGTGGGGAGGAAAGAAGGAACTCTGAGGTGAGGGACTTCAGCAACCCAGGGAGGCAGGGTGCAGAGAGGAAAAGACCCACAGCCAGTGCTAAGGGTAGTCACCAATTCTCCCCGCCCCGAGAGTGGTTGGATGGTTGGTCGCCAACTGGCCAGGGGAGAGTGGGTGTCCTTTTGGGATGAGCAGAAAAGTCAAACCCCACCGCCAGTGGGCAGAGAAAACAACCACTTGCAGACCCCACAGAAGGGGTGGGATGACTCTGCTGCTTGACTTGCCAAGGAAACAGGCAACCCTGGATTCAAATCAAAAACGCGTTGTGAAAGCAAAAAAATTCAAGCCCAGTTTCCCACCCCTTGCAGGGAAGAGACAAAAGGCAAGCGGCTACCAGTTATTGCAGCTGAGAAATGCAGAAAGGGGGGAAATGGAGAGAAGAGGGAAAGGGAGGATGTTTTTCATCTGGCTATTGGTATTGTTGCCAGGAGATCCAGCTGGTTTCCCCATCCACCCACCCTAGTAAATCTTCCCCCCACCCCAGGGCCACCACGAGATTTTTTGTGCGCGCAAAATGAGCACTGCACTGCAAGAGACTGCGACGTGAAACAAAGGACAGTCACATGCCACCTGGGAATATATACACACACCCCTCCCATTCTGAGGGAGAAGGATGGGTATATCTGATTGGAAATCAGAGATGCCTGTCAGCCTCGGGTTAACATAAGAACATAAGAGACGCCAATGTTGGATCAGGCCAAAGGCCCATCCAGTCCAACACTCCGTCACACAGTGGCCTAAAATACCAGGTGCCATCAGGAGGTCCACCAGTGGGGCCAGGACACTAGAAGTTCTCCCACTGTTGACCCCCCCACCCCAGGTGCCCAGCATTGGTCACTCGACAGTCGAAAAATCACACCCACTTTTCAGTGTGAAACAGCGGGGGTGCGGTTTCTCTGGTGAAAGTAGCCAAACGCTTCTGAGCTGAGCGCACAAAGACCGGGCACTTGAGCTTCTGGACATGTGACCTTTGAGCCGGTCAGTCTGAGCTCCAAAAAAGGCAATGTTCGGCCCGGATTTTAGCTTGGGGTTCGGGTCTGGTGACAGATCATATGTATTATATAATACACTTAATATTATTTTTGACTGTCTTCCTTTGTCAGTTTTATTGATGGCATCATGCCGGAAATATTCTATACCACTGCCTCAGCTTAGCTCTGTAATATACACCAAGAGCAGCAACAACACAAACAAGAAGAACAGCAATAACAATAGAAACAACAGGGACTACAACTTCTCTAACAACAGCTGCACTGACACTGTGTGGTGGAGGGGGTCCACTGTCAATGCTGCCACCATAGCCTTTATCTAGACAGTATGGGGGGGCCCAACCATAACCACAGTGACAATTTTTGTGGCTGTTACATATTCCCCGATTTTGGCACTTTGTTTTATTACAATCATATTGTAATAGGGACACATCGGTGCATTCCTTATTAATACACATCATATCCTTGCCACAGAGACTGCCATCATTCACAGCTCCAATATCAGGTATTCTTATTCCATGATGGTAATCTGTGCCCCAGCACAGACTGTTGTGAACACGTGTTTGAATTATGGTGCTGTGTTCTTCCAACGAAGGTAATTCATTAAAGTTTTCACACTGGATACGGCCACACAGGATATTCTTATCATTACATTTTTGATAAATAGCACCATTAAACCCACAGTTGCCAAAGCGGTCGCCTTGAGTATTCAGTTTTCTGAAGCAGCCCTCTGAACCAACTGTTGCTTTTGAGCCAAAGATCGTTTTGCACTGTTTATCATGAGTTGAGCACTTCCCATGATAACAGTAGGCACCATCTGGACATGGGGCACCATCTTGTACATAAACATCTTCAGGACACCACTCTGAAGACCCATTGCAGTACTCTGGAAGGTCACAGACACCAGCATTTTGCCTGCAAAGACTTCCAGCTGGAAGATACTGGCATTTGGAGCAGCACTCTCCAAAAGCACAAGTGACACCGGAACGCAACCTGCAATCAGACTGGCAACAGGGATCCCGTTCACAGTTCTGTTTTGAACCACAGTCACATTGCTCACCACGGTCCACTACTCTATTCCCACAATATGTGAGTTCATACTGTTTATCCGGGTCTCCAGGAGAAAACATGCACTGTGCCTTGCCAGATTGCAAAAATTTGTAATAGTCTCTATAACTGCAGTTGCTTAACTTCTCACTGTTTGAGTGATAGGCAGCCATAAGGCAGCTTTCACGTTCACATTTACACGAGTCTACATCATGGTTCATGCCAAGAATATGCCCTTGTTCATGGGCAAATGTGACAGTAAAAAAGAACAAACTGGAAGTCGTATATGAGCTAACAGCAGTTGAATAATCTTTCCAGCACGATGTTGCAGTGTATGCTAATCCCAA